ACAGGTGGTGACTACTCCTCGCTATGCCAATCCACTGTGAACCTGTGGATTTCCAGCGCACCACTCCAAATGAATAGTCACAAATCAGGAAAGCTTGAGAAACTCTGCTGTCGCCACTTGGAGCGACCTATAATACCAGGCGTAGAAATAGTGCTGGTATGTCTCTAGGTGAAGCCCTCGTCTTTACCCACCGAGGGTGGTGTGCGAACGAGGTGCCTGTCGTGTATACCTAAAAGTCACAAGGAGTCCCATACTTGCAGGTATGGAGTGTACATGTGTGTTGAGATGGTGCTAATATGTATGATAACCGACGGTGCTATATTCCATACAGGTGGAGCAGTCTGATGTGTTAAGGGATAGTGTAAGAAGGGATGACCGAGGTAAGGTGGTCACAGATTGTTATGCAATAAGTATGTGGATGACACGCCATTAATGTAAGAGTCTGGTGCCCACCTGGGTAACCACATTTCCTTTGTTCTTCTGAGGAAGGCCAATTCATGTATATGTTTTTTACCAGTATGTTTTATAAGGAATAAATCAATTAAGACATGTTATGGTTTCACCATTCTTTACCCTTATCGATCTAGTCAATGGAAAACCTAACCCAATGCCTAGTCCACTCTGCACGCTACCTAACGAGCTATATACTGTCCAGAGGGGGTCTGGTGGCAGCTACCCTTAGAAATTAAGATTAGAGTTAAGTCATCCCCTTAGACTTAGTGACCCCAGAATCTGGCAGTATATCACAACACCTTCTGGTAGATTATTCCAAGAGTTCACAACTCTCACTCAGTCACTGTCGCTATCACCTGAGGAGTTCTCCCCCTGCCGGCCAACTCGAGTACTACATGGCTACCCTGTGTGGTGGAAACAAGCAACCCTCAAAACCAAGTGATCTCACACTCAATCTGGGAATCACCCTCAACAGTACCGGTCATTTAAATTCTGTTGGTTGAAGCACTAGTGAGTACGTTACCGCCCACTATTATAACTTTCTTAGATCTTCCTTTTTCACACCTCAGTGACCCTGAGTTTTTACTGTTTCTTAATCAGTATCAATGTTCCCACAATGATGTTGCTAGTGTCATTCCCATAGATGTGCTAGATCGTTTGTGTTACACCCCCTTTCCCCATGGTGTCGACACAATACTCCCTCATATCGATCCTGATGCCTTTCTACAAAATTCCCTGGGTTACACCAACCCCAACTGTAATTATTACTTTCCTGACTCTCCCGAGTTTAGTTCTAGTCTTGTACTACCTTATTCCTTCTCCTTGACTAGCCATAACAACAGCAGTATTCCCCTTCAGATACCCTTTTAGATCAGTGTATATTTTCTATTGCCCACAATTTTGATGTACTTGGGTTCTGTGAGACCAAACCCACTAACGATATTGAACATTTGTTTAATACGTCGAAACAGTGGTGGTGTCGCCCTATATGTTGATATCAAGTATAACACTTCTGTAAGAGATGATTTAAAGGCTCAGGAGGAGTATATAGAGAGTGTTTTCACTGAATTACTTAACGACACACGAAATATCCTAGTAGGAGTAATCTACAGAAGACCCCACACTCATGTAAGAAATTTTCTTGATAAATTTTCGGAGCTCATCTCTATCATAAATTCAGAGAGGAAATTTTGCAACATTACAGGATATTTCAACCCTGTTCTATTAAAATTAGACCTTCTTGCTACCTGTCATTCTAAGCTCTTCTTCAACACTATAACCAAACCCACTAGAGCAACTGCCACCTCTGCCACTGTGATAGATCATATCTGGACTAACAACACTCCTAACAATCTTGCAAGTGAAATTATTTATATCAATATCTCAGATCACTTCCCAGTTTTTGCCATGTATAAAACAGCCATAAGACCTGAAATGTCTAGTAGAGTCTCAATAATATACTGAGACTATTGCACCGACAACATGCTCCTTTTTGAAAACAACCCTAACGTGAACAGCTGCAACTTCTTTTGCATCTTCAATGCTGCTTTGATAAATGCTTCCCGCTCGAGATTAAGTCAGTGAAAACTGTATCCATTTCCAAACCCTACATCACAAGCGAAATTAAGATAATGATAAAAGAAAAACTCAAACTCCAAAGGAAATTTACAAAAAGACACATTACTTTCGGTGATGCTTACCGAAGTATCAGAAATAGAGTAACTCAAGCAGTTAGAAATGTCAGACGTAGCTATTATACAAATAAACTCCAATCAGCATCAGGCGACGGTAATAAAACCTGGAATGTCATAAATTCTATTCAGAACAGGACCACTCAGCCTTTGGCCCCACACTCAGCTTTCATGATAAATCATTCAGTTGTAACGGAACCCTCCCTTATTGCCAACCACTTCAATGTATATTTTATTCATGTTGGCACAAACCTTGAAGAGAGCATCCGTGATCACCATAAGGAATTTTGAGCCTACCTGCAAAACAGACAGCAAAATGAGCTGTTCTTATCCCCTGTCACAGTAGATGAATTGCTGGCCATCATAAAAATGTCCAAAGATGCAGCAGCAGGCGAAGACAATTTACCAATGAGCAACATTAAGAAAGTAGCCCACTTATTACTACCTGTTCTCCTACACATTTGTAACTCCTCCTTCAATTTGCGAACAAATTGAAAATTGCTAACGTTCACTCAGCATATAAAAAATCTGGGAATAAGGGTGTCTTCAAAAATTACCGCCCCATAGACCTCTCTGAAGTCTTCGATACTGTCGACCATACCATCCTCCTTTCAAAGCTTGAACATTACGGCATTAGGGGCCTGTCCCACAATTGGTTTACGTCATATCTGTCAACGGATGCAGTATGTCTGCTATAATAATCACCAATCTGACTCCTCGCTAACATTGTATGGCTACCCCAAGGTTCCATTCTCGGTCCAGTACTGTTTTTGTTGTACATAAAAAAATCATAGTCCACGCCAGCACACTCATAAAATACATCTTATTTGCAGACGATAGTAATCTCTATGCCAGCAACTCAGACCTCCATTCTTTGATGAGACCTAGGAACACTGAATTGACCCACTACACGATCTTTCACAGAAGGAAAAACTTACCCCCAGATTTGGACCCCTTGTACCTTGGTAATACAGTCCTCAAACGTGAACCAAATACTAAATTCCTCGGAGTTATTGTTGGTGAGAAACTTAACTGGAGAAACCACATACAAGCCATTCACAATAAAGTTAATAAACAGTGCAGCAGTGGCGGCTCGTCGGTACGCACTGTGGAACTGCAGCACCCCCTATTTCACCCTCTATATATATATATGTATTATATAATATAATATATCATACTGTATATGTTTATTTATTTATACTTGTACAAAATATTTAAAACTATTATCAATAATCCTTAAACCTAATGTCAATGGACATCCTCTAATTCCGAGAAAACAACAAAAATCTCTGTATGTGTAACTGTCTTACTCGACAGTTCCAAAAGCGGGAGTTTGCTTTGTCGCACGCATGCGCGCATGTCCTGGAGGCAACAGAGGGCGAGCACTGTGTCTCACGCAGTGCCGATCTGGTTATAGTGTGGGAGGTAGTGTTTACGCATCATCCTGTGTGGTGCTTACGCGCCGTCTGCTATATCAAGAGTATTTGAATGTGATAAATTGTAGATGATGTGATATCATACTGTTTGATATCACATCATCTACAATTTATCACATTCAAATACTCTTGATATAGCAGATGGCGCGTAAGCACCACACAAGGATGAAGCGTATGATTCATACTCATAGAGACTACATTTTGTATTCATTGTTTTTTCCAGAAACTTTATTGTGTAGAAGAATTTGAATTAATTAAACATGGCCTCCTTGTTTTCCCAAGAAACAAATTATGTGACAGTGAATGAACTTCAACAACTTAAATTTTCACAGTTGTCTCTTCATGAGAAAGTTGCTATTATGACAAGAGGCCTTCCATCACCTGATATTCAAATATCTCAGCCAGGAATAAGCAACAGTAAGAGGTATATTCGTAGCTTTCATTCAGAATGGTACTAAAGGAGAAGTTGGCTCTGTGGTTGTGAAGTAAAAAATACATTATTTTGTTTTCCGTGTGTGTTGTTTGGAATTGGAAGTGATGTAACTTGGACAAAAGACGGCTTTAGAAATATAAACAAAATGAAAGAAAAACTGAAAAACATGAAAAGTCAAAGAATCATATTGAAAGCGTGGTTTCACTATCACTTTTAGGAAGCGTAAATATTAAAGAAAAACTTAGTGAAGCCTATAGACTTTCGATCAATGAGCATAACAGGAAGGTTACCAAGAACCGTGAAATTTTATCCAAGATAATAGACTGCATTACATTTTGTGGAAACTTTGAAATTCCTTTACGTGGACATGATGAAAAAGATGATTCAGTAAATCCAGGTGTATTTAGGGGATTAATAAATTTTGCATCTAAATTAGACTCAGATTTAAAATACCATTTAGAAACAAGTACAGTCTTCACAGGTGTTTCTAAGACTATTCAGAATGAGATACTTGACTGCCTGCTGCAGATATACCATGATGAGATAAAGAAAGAGATTAAAGAAGCTTCATTTGTAGCTGTCATGGCTGATGACACAACAGATGTTTCAGAACACACTCAAATGGTAATTGTTCTACGGTACGTGCTGAATGAAGAAATATTTGAGCTTTTTTGGGGATTCTTTATTCCAGAAAATCAAACCGCAGATGGCATTTCAAAATGTATTCTAGAGCAGTTAGATATAATCCTTCAAGGAAATAGACAAAAACTGATAGCTCAGACATTTGAAGGTGCAGATGTCACTGTTATGCGCACCAACTGAATCTGATAATGAGAAATGCAGCAAGTATTAATCGGAACTCAAGAATATTTTCCTCTAACGTTTTGGCTATACCAACATTTTTCTCAAGATCACCACAACGTGTATCCATTCTCAATAAGCATATAAACGTCAGCATTCCGCGCCCATCCTCTACAAGGTGGAACTTTAACATATGGACCGTGAACAAAGTTCATGAAAATTTGCAACCTTTAAAAAGCTTCCTTGCTGAAATCCAGTCGACGGTAAATGGAGATCGAACCATTTCAGAAGCAACAGGAATTTTGCACTACCTGAAAAATTCATGTTCTGGTTGGAGCTTTTTCATCAGATCATGCCTCATGTTGAAGTAATTTACAACCAAATGCAGTCTCGAGAAATTGATGTATTTAAAGTACATGAATATATAAAAAATTTCAAAACTGCTATTTTAGAAATAAGAAACTCGAAGTACTGTGAGAATCCTTCAAAGACGCTCATGGCTGAAGCAAAGGAAGTATGTGACTGCATATGTGTTGATATAGTGGAGAGATATTCTTTCACTAAACAATTAGTAGCTGCTAAATTATTCCACAAGAAAAGCTTCACTAGTTTTAAGAATAAACTGCCTGCAGAAGAGATAGGATTGACCACTGAAGCATATCCCATGATTGACAAAGAAAAATTTGAAACTGAATTTAGAGTATTCTACAGTAGGTCCGATATGCATGAATATTGCAGGTTAATTAACCTGCAGAAATTTATCTTGGAAAATAATTTAGATGGTGTTCTTAGTGAGATTACGAAACTGATAAAAGTCCTCTTGACAATTCCTATGACTTCATCCGAGCCTGAACGCTGCTTTTCAACATTAAAAAGAATAAAAACTTTTCTGAGGAGCACTATGAATCAGGAAAGGCTAAATGCACTTGCAATGATTTCAACGGAGAAAAAATTCTTTAACAGTCACCCAAACATCAATGAGAAAGTTGTTGACCTTTTCGCTCAAAAGAAAGCAAGAAGAATGGATTTTATTTTTAAATAAATTTGGATCAAGCTAGACTGGAGTAATTATCTGTTAATGTTAAATGGTTTTTTTTTACCATTGTGTCTTACACAATATCAAAACAATTCTTAAAAATGTTTTGAAGCAGCACCCCGACGAATTAGAGTCACGAGCCGCCACTACAGTGCAGTATCATGTATCACACTCGACAGTCACTCACTCTCACATCAATGAAAGAAATTTATCATGATCTTGTTTACCAACACCTGATACACTGTTACACACTATGGGGGTGGCTCTTCAAAAACACAATCCCTGGTTACTGCACAAAAGACAGTTGTACGGACAATGACCTACTTGAAAAAAAAAACCAGATCACACAAACGAAAAATTTGAAAAATTGAAAATGTTAAAATTCGCAGATATTAAGTCCTACTGCTGTGTCCTCTTTGTTTACAAATTTATCAATCTCTTGATTGACAATAACTTTTTCCAGAGATACAACTTAAAGCACCCAGAGCTACTAAGACCACCCCCCATGCGCTCCTCGTAGTCCCAGACCTCCATAAAATATCATGGTGTGAAGGTGTGGAACAACTTACCCCCCACCCATCCCAGCAAAGACTACGCTCCCTTCCTTTAAATCATCTCTTAAATAATATCTATTGTCTAAGTATTGCTATTTCTTGTAATACCTACTATATATACCTGCTCTTATTGTGCCATCAAAACCGTTTTATTGAAATTATCATGTACCATTGCAATAAATATATTTGCCAACTAGACATAATCCTGACAGCTCTGTCCTCTTTTTCAACCTTAATAATGTACAGCCCATGTTTCACTTCCTCCCCATTATATTTATGTTTTTTCATTTCCATTGTAAATTATGTATATATTTATAATAAAAATAAAAATGAAATCAATAAATATTGAAGTGATAACCGTGGTAACATTTGGAGATGTTCTTATTATCACCATGCTATTGTACTATTCAAGATGTTACTAAATGTTACATAATACTTCCTTGAGATTAATGTATAGTATATATCAGGTGCCTACAGGAGAGCTCAGGCTCTCAACTGGTTCAGCCATGTTAATATTATTATTATCCACTCTGTATCTGTGTTTTTTCTGGCTGAATAAACTGTTTCAATTCAATTCAATCCATTAAAATTCTTAAGCAATAATTCACTTTCCATGAGGCAATATTGACATCCCACAACACCCAGCCAGGAGTGATGGGACCCCAAGCAGTTATTTTCGTGTAGTAAACAGCTAAGTTCCTAACACCAAAGTAGCTTGATGGTACTTATTTACCATTGGCTTGAAAACATCCCAAATTTGGGAGAGAGCACTCACAGCTGTGTTTATCCTTGGCCGTCTTCTGTTGATCACACACACATATCCTTTTATGTATCACGAGGCATACTTTGTCACCACCATCATGTTGTACCACTTGTGTTGGGAACTAGGTAGTCAGCTCGTTCAAGGAATGAATTATGGTTTATGTTTATTCTTTTTCGTCTTGCATGTGTTATGTTATATTATGTTTGTTTGTAATATGTATTGTTGTAAATTATATAGTATATTGTTGTATTGTAAATAATATGTTATTTGTGTCAATGTTTACATCCTTGGAGTGATTAATAAACAGCCTGACAACTCTGTGAGGTTAGTTGGTAGGTCTACCAGTAGCTGTCACCCATTCTCTACCTTGGCTTGCTGACGAGCTGTTCTGACCGGCTCTGCGTTGCGCTGTGTACGCGTATCCGGTGTCTCTGAGGGTTTTGTGTTTGTGCTACTGAGTGGTCATCACACAACTAAGTTTAATTTGTGTATATGGATTAGGATTATAATTATAATGTACAGTGTGATAGTTAACACTTAGTCCATGTGCTAATTGTAAGATTAGAATCTTGTCTTTTTGTCCCTGGTGTTGTTTCTCAGTTATGGTTAATGTACTTTCACTTTCACCTTTCTGTGTTTTTAGTGTAAATATGTTTAATACTTAAAAAAATATAGCAGTTTCTAGTGTATTGTGTATATTCCCGTTCCCCGTTTATCTTCCCCTGTGTTTTCATTTTGTGGAGCATTTTAATAACCCCGACAAGTATGTCCCACAACACACTGTAGCCATGCATATGGCCACTTGTAGATAGTTGTAGACTCTATAAGAACAAAGATATCTTGTTATAGATATTTAGAGCAGGAACTAGGTATTGGCTTTCAGTTCAATGTATGTGCATGGTTCATACATTGTTCTAATTACTAAGAAAAAAAGAAAAGAAAAGTACTAGGTAATACATTTGTCGTCGATTATCAATAAGACTTTGTGCTGTATCGGATAGCAAACAATGAATATTGTCAGAAAGTAAAGCCTTATGTCAATATATTGATAAATAAGATGAACTCTGGCATCGGCCCTCTCCATGAAGATAAGCCCATACAACTCGCATGGCCTTCAACATAGAAGTGGTCTTGCATACAACATGCGGGATTTTTAGCTTGAAAAAACGCACTCATAAGCATCATAGGATATGTAACAAAGGAAAACGATACCCTATGTCTTGATGGTACAAGTAAGTACTACTTGCATCATCAAGACATACAATATTGGAGAAACCCTTGGATTTTTAGTTCACCAATATAACACCTCGTAGAAACCTTCAAATCTGCCGCATAGAGACAGAACACACCGTAGAAGCGCACTGACCTGCAGCATAGAGACAGAACACACCGTAGAAGTCGCCGATTCCGAGAGCGCGCAATTCAGTTTTGTCGACAGTTCGACTAGACCTCTGACACTCCGTGGCGTTAAACATTCTCTGAAGCGCCAGCCGATCTAGTATGCCAGATTCCTTTAGTCTGATGATGCTGGAGTGAGATAGAATAAATAAGCTCGTTTAGTTACAACATGGGCAAATGGAAGTAAAACAAACAGTATAAACAACAATTGAAAACAGTTCTTATTATGGCACCTAAGAGAAGTGGGACATTTACATTGTGGACTTTATGCATGGGATGGAATGACGAGATGTCATACTATGGTTACATAAGATGCAGCAACAAAAACTCACACGTTATCCACTTTTGCCTTGAGAGCCGAGCCCTTGGGGAAGCCCAGACTGAGGCTGGTTGGACCCAGGAAACCGCGAGACATTGAGTACAGGTTACATTCTCCTTTCTGAAACAACATGAAGGAAGAAATTTAATAAATAATCCCGATTTATCCACGAATTTTATCTCATAATTCCCATGAAAGTAAAATTTAACTACTATAACATATTTTCCTCTTAATAGAATCTTCGGTGCCGTTAAATTATGAAATGAATCTAATGGTTTTATCAGTTTACGAATTCATGACTGAATGTAATAGTTTCTCAAATTATAGGTGATGTTTGCAGAGAAAGACGAAAAGTTTTTGATATTCGAGTAATGTCTACCCTTAAGTATGTGCTGGCTAACATATGTGAATGTTTCTACTTAGTAGAAAACCCTACTCATAGCAAGTACAGTATATCAACACATAATATAAGAACAAAACATGGTATTAACATAACATTATAACGTTGCATAAGAACATAGCATCGTATTAAATTACATTAACACATAGCATGAGAACATAACATGGTAATAACAATACATCAACATGTAATTTGAGAACATAATATGATATTAACATTACATTAATACAAAACAAAAGAACATTATGTATTAACGTTACACCAACACATAATTTAAGAACATAACATGGTATTAACATTACATTAACTCATAACATAAGAACATAACTTGATATTAACATTACATTAACTCACCAGCAGAAACGCCGCCCTCCGGGCGGCTCTTTCGCTAGGCCGCGGCAGGACGCCACCCTCCGGGAGGCTCCACATTGTCTCACTGTAGTGCATTAGGGTAGACCACATTTTTGGTTTTGCCATTAGGAGCAAGTATGTACAGAATTTTGCCAGTTCCCACTCTGGAGCATCCAACATAGAACTGTCCATGAGAAAAGCAAGGAAACACTAGGTTTAGGCCAACCATCTTTAGGGACTGTCCCTGGCTTTTCTAGATGGTCATGGCAAAGCTCAATTTAACCGGGAACTGAAGTCGCTTGAACTCAAATGGCAGGTCAGTGGTGATGAGAGATATCCTTGGTATAAACACGTCCTCTCCTTTAGCTTTTCCTGTAAGTATTGTAGCTTCCAGTGCATGTGGCATCATGTTCTTCACCACCAGTCATGTGCCATTGCAGAACCTTGGTGGTTCAAGATTTCTGAAGAGCATTATAGGAGTTCCAATCTTAAGAGTGAGGTGGTGAGGAAGCATTCCAGCGGGCTCCAAAAAATTAAGGAATTCTACAGGGTACTGGACTGCTTGGTCCTGGTCGATTACTGTATCAACAGACTTGAATGAATGTTTCAATGCCTGGAAGCTGTCTGAGTAGAGTCATGATGATTTCAGTCACTGTTTCATTCTTTGGTGCCAGAATTGCGCGTTCACGCAGCCACTTGTGATCCTTGTAGTGGTGGATAATGTTTGCGTAGACCATGTTAGTGAGCTCAGTTGAGGACTTTACAACATTTCCACATCCTTGAAGAATGATTATTTGTCCTTCTGAATCAACAGGGAAAGTTCCATTCCCAATCTGTAGTAGAAGGTTTGCAAACCGTCCAGCATCCTGATCTCCTTGTAGATGTACTCTCATGTTTGTGGATAGGGTGAGTGTATGAACACTATTCCAAGGGTATGATGCCTTGAGGCACGCATTCAGTTCATCAGCTGGAGTGCTTCGAGGTATGCCATGTACGGTCTGGCGAAAGTCTGCAGCAATGACCATTGTAATGGCACCCATGAGCTGGTCATTTTCTCGTATGTCTTTCAAGGTCCTGTCCAATGCTTCAAACGCTAACTTGTGAGACATAGTGCATTCATCCCAGACTATGAGGCTGCATTTTACTAAGAGTTTTTCTTTTGCCGATCCTCTTTTGATGTTGCACACTGGATTCTCATTATGAGCGAGGTTGAGAGGCAGTTTAAAAGTTGAGTGTGCAGTACGTCCTCCTTCTAGTAGTGTTGCGGCAATGCCTGAGGATGCCACAGCAAGAGCAATTTACCCCTGATGACGTACTTTGGCCAACAAAAGGTTGATCAGGAATGTTTTTCCTGTCCCGCCAGGTGCATCGAGAAAGATCATACCTTTCTGCTCCGCTTGTATCGCTTGCAAGATCTGTTCATAAACATTTGCTTGATCAGGCACCAGATTAGGCTCATTTTTTTCAACAAAATTCACCAGAACTTCAACTGAGTAGTGTGTCTCTCTGAGCAACTCCCTGTTTGCAGCTTCATGGTTTTTCTCGGTTTTTCTGCATTGATCCATCACTTTATCTTGCAGCATGATCAGAGCCGTGTTGAACATGTCATCGATAAACTCAATCTCTTGACCAGGATGTTCTCTTCTTGCTTGATGATGCAGATCCTCTGAAAGATTTCCTGGTTGTTTTCCCAGAGCTTGCTTGGGTTGAAAAGTCCACATATAGCAATCATGATGGCAAACAGATTCCTCATTCTCATTGGCGAATGAGTTGCTGCTACCTCTTCTAATGTGTCATTTCAGTGACCATCATCTTCCAGTAAGCCAAGGAGATTGCACGCTTCCTAATAGGTTCTGCAAACCTGTCCATTCACTGTCTTGAATGCTGCATATGATGTTGGGCCACGGATGTGGTGCAAAAGTAGTCTCAAACAGTAGCATTCAAAGTTGTTGGGGTGAACCGTGTAGACACGTCCCAAAGCATTGCCTGACTTTATCCCTGGATATCCTTCAACATCGGAGCCTTGAGCTCTTCTCGGGAACTTTTTCATTGAAACCTGCCATATGTAGAACTTGGGTACGTCAACATACAGGAGGATTTGAGCAAACTCATCTTCCCGAGAAAGCCTGAAGAATGCAGTGAGGGTCGTATCAGCAAGATTTGCCATTTGATTTTGGAGGGACTCTTCTGTGAAGTATACTTTTTGTCCATTTCTCAGGCGAACAGCCAGATGAACTACTGGTGGACATCGTTCGTGTATGGGAAAACTAAAAATTCTCCATCGGGCTTCATTGCTGCAGATATTACGGCCCTGCTGAAACTGTGTCACCGCACCATGATTTCCATCCTTTTACAATGCAAAGATAGCTTGGTCAGAGTCTTTGTTGACGTATTTGCAGACATACTTGATGGACTTGACTGAATTGAAGAACTCCACATTGATGTGCGCATTGAATGCTTTGCTCAAAAGAGGATTGTAGGGGACCACCCATTTGTTGTCTACTGTTATTTCCCTGTCTGTTCCAGGTCGCAACACTGCTGTAAAACCTCCATCGCCTGGCGCTCTTCTCCTGTACTAAGGATAGCCATCTTCTCCGCTCTGAGTATCCTTTATCAGGTCTTTTGGGAAGTTTTTGGTGCCTTGTCCATCTTTCATGCATGGAGAGTCTGTTGAATGGTCCACATGGCCCATGAATCATTTGCTTCTAGATGATCTCATAGAGATCTGTTTCTTCTTCTGGACCAGGAAACTCTGCTCGTATGCAGTTGTCAATCATTTTCGGTCGAAGTTTTTCTTTCAGCCAGATCAAGACATGGGCATGTGGTAGACCTCGTTTCTGCCACTCAATGGAGTACATGTAGTACCGTGTAGGGCCAAAGATTGATGCTTTTGTAAGCAATTCCATGAGTTTATTCTGTTGCGAGTTGGGGATTTAGAATATAGTTTAAAGTCTACCCAGATCCCAACAGGCAACAAAAATAAAAAAAACAAAGACAATCGGACTATAAAAGGGTACACAAAGGATGCGAGTTTTTGTGGTGTATAATAAAGTACCATAAATTCCTTAACAAAATATTCAGCTTTCTATAATTTACCCTTAACCATACTTAACCTAAACATACGCAACATTGGCTTAACAGTATATACATATTTACACAACATACAACAATCTGAAGCAAGGTGGAGGCGGGGAGGCAATATAAGATTACAAAATACTCAAGTGCAGTGCTGAGATGGCTGACGAGTAAGGCTGAGTATTGAAGAAGATGGTAGGTAGTCACTGTGCCGTAGGTTTCCAGGATAGGTGATCCTAGTGTGGTCACTTCCCAGAGTGAACTGAACTCTCCTCGATCCGGAGCTGATGAGGAAGACTTGGAGGAGGTGACGCAACAACCAGGATATAGAGAAGGGAAACCAGGAGTGGTGACTAAGACTAGTCATACTCGGTTTTCGTCCCTAGATGGCGTTGCTCGTGGTGCTGGGTAGGTAGATCATGAAAATAGATGGCGTGGTCCGTAACACACCCCCCCCCTCCAAAGACCTCCGTAGCGCGGGCGCGAAGGTGGTGATCACCTGGTGCATCTGGAGAGTAGCTGCTGCATTTCCACTGGAGCTCGGGATAAGGAGTCCGCAATCAGGTTGTCCACGCCCTTTATGTGCCCGACTTGTAGATTATAGGGCTGGGTGAGGAGAACCCAGCGGAGGATTCGCTGGTTGGAGGTCTTGTTGGTTTGGATGAACGTGAGCGGGTTATGGTCTGTGAAGACTAGGGTTGTTTGTGGGCAAGATTGGAGGTAACATTCAAACTTCTTTATTGCCAACACCAGAGCCAGGGCCACCTTCTCTATGGTAGAGTAGTTGGTCTGATGTTTTTTCAACTTGGCGGAGTAGTCTGCCACATGGTGAAGGACATCAGTGGTTGGGTCGGGTTGTAGGAGCACAGCCCCCACTCCGACACCACTAGCGTCGATTTGCAGATGGAAGGGCAAGGTGTAGTCAGGGGGGTGGACTACAGGCTTGGAGGCAAGGAAGGCTTTGAGGCGGTGGAAAGACTGGTTGCACCTCTGGTTCCAGATGTAAGGGACCGCAGAACTGGTAAGGTCTGTGAGGGGTCTGGCCACGCTGGAGAAGTTACTGCAGAACCGACGGTAGTAGGCGCACATCCCCAGGAAGCGCATGAGTTCCTTCCTCGTCCTTGGAGTGGGGAAGGACAAGATGGCTTTCACGTTTGCGCCCTTGGGTCTCACCATACCATGCCCAACGATATGTCCCAGGTAAGTCACTGAGGCCCGGCCAAAAGCAGATTTAGCCAGGTTTATGGTGAATCCAGTCTCTTGCAGTCGTGCGAACAGTATCTCCAAACGCACC